CCAGGGACTCCTCGAAGCACCCTCGGGCAACGAAGACGCCCCTTTACGACGGACCAGCGCGCCTCCACACCTCTTCCACTCTCGTGCCGCCCGCGCGATTGTCCTCCCTGGCGCCAGGCGGTCGCGCCTGGGGCGCCGCGGCCGGGAGAACCTCGTGCGCCGCCGCGCCCGGCGGCGTGGCCGCCGCCGGCGGCCCTGGCGGCCGGGGGCCGCGCGGGGCGCCCCGCGGTGGAGCGGCGCGCGGCCGCGGCGGCGCCCGCCGCGGCCCCCTGCGGCGGCGGCCCGTGGCGGCGGCCCAGGAAGGCGCCGGCGGGCACGCGGCCGGAGGGCCCGGCGGAGGGCTTCGAGGTCGGGAGGCGACGACGGGTGGCTCTGCCATGTTGGTCACCGCAGGAGGAGGAGGAGAAGGAGGAGGAGGAGGAGGAGGAGAAGGAGGAGGAGTAGGAGGAGGAAACGGTGGAGGCGGGGGGGACCCAGGAAGGAGGGGGCACCGATAGGCATCGAGGTTCATTTTGACGCTGCCACCAAGCATCAGGACGATCGAACTGGGTGCGGTAACAATGGGCACAAAGTCCAAAAATAGTTCCCGTGGATGCTGAACGGAGTTCGCTGTCGGCGTCGCTGCGGTCGTGGCCCACTTGAGACAGAAGGCCGCCCGCCCAGCAGCGGTCACTGTCCGTTTTGGACGACATTTGGTGTTGGGCATCGTACCCTTTTTTCCCGAACCCACTTTGGGGGTCCACAGAGGTCGGGGCCGACGATGGGCCCAGGACTCCGACGTCTCGAGAAGCCCACGGCGGAAGGCTCTGGGCCGCTTTCTGCCTCCAGGGGCCCTCGCCGGGCCCTGGGGCCGACAAGGAAGGACTCGGGAGGAAGAGCCGCCCTGGGGACGAGGTCCAGGCCTCCAGGGCCCCCCTTATTGAGGAACTCGAGGCGTCAGATGTCTGGGCGGGGGCACGGCCCAGAAGCGGGCAGCATGCGAGTATTCGCCAGGGAGCCTCGCCGAAGACATGGGCCGTCGACGCTCCTGGATACACAGGTTGCTCCCCCCCTCCCCCGTCGTCGCCTCTGGCGAGGGAGGAGGTGCTCGCCGTGGCGGAGGACGCCGCCAGGGCGGCCGGCAGGGTGATCGCGGAGAAGGTCGGGGCGGACGTCGTCCAGGTCAAGGGCCACGCCGCCGATCTGCTGACGGAGGTCGACGGGGAGTGCGAGGAGGTCATCCGGCGGGCGGTGCTCTCCGCCTTCCCCGGCCACGCCTTCCTGGGCGAGGAGTCCGCCGGCACGCCGGAGGCGCAGCGAGAGGCCATGGCCTCGCCCGGGTGGCTCTGGATCGTGGACCCGATCGACGGCACCACGAACTTCGTGGCGGGGCAGCCGCTGTCCGCGGTGTCGATCGGGGTCGCCCAGGATGGCGTCCTGCAGGCCGGGGTGATCTTCGACCCCTTCCACGGGGAGCTCTTCTCGGCCACGCTCGGCGGAGGCGCCCGGCGGAACGGCGCCCCGATCTCCGTGTCCTCCGCGGCCGCCGAGCTGCGCCAGGCGGTGGTGGCCTCCGGAGCGCCGCCCAACCCCCTCTCGGCGGCGCCCTGCTTCCGGGCGATGGCGCTGCTCTCGCCCCCGCGCACCCGCACTGTGCGGATCCTCGGCAGTGCTGCCATCAACTTCGCCTGGGTGGCCTGCGGGCGCTCGACCACGAACGAGCGACACCACCCTACCTCGGTATCGCTCAACCAATCCCCTTCGAGACCCCCACCAAATCACCCCCCAGTTGGGGATACACCCCTCGAAACCGGAAGGGAACGGCCTATATCCCCATCTAGGGGGGTAAATCGGCCAGTGGGGCCCAGGCCACGCCGCTGGGGATGGGGATCTGTTAAACGATACTCACTACCCACTGCCCTCCATGTTGCGCTGCGGCCCATCGGGGGCCGTATCGTACACCGCGCAAGAGCCCACGCCAGATCTCCTGCCATACGCGGTGCCCCGCGGGGGCCGTAGGTTTAAGTCGGGCACGTCTCTCTACAGGAGGAATATCCCCAAATAGCAGAAAAATAGTAAGTGGACGATTTGTTGAGCATTTTTCGACCGCTTTCGAGTTCTTTTCTTGACTTTTTGGTGTTTCAATATATATATATATATATATATATATACATGTATATATTTGTCGTCCACATTCCGCCTGTAGGAGGACCTGCCCTTCCTAACCGTAGGTGGGGTGCTGCCGCCTCCTCCTCCTCCTCCTCCTCCTCCTCCTGTTTTTTGGTCTAGGCGCCTGGACGCGTGGTTCGAGCCGGACCTGAACTGCTGGGACAGCGCGGGCGGGGCGCTGCTGGTCCGGGAGGCGGGAGGCCTCGTCACGGACTGCGAGGGCACCACGGGGCCCAAACATGTACACCACCACCCAGGGCGGGACCCAAACGGTGTTTAGGCGCTTTCGTGGGCCGTTCTCGTTTCGACTTCGTTTTACGATAGAGGTGCATTGAAGACAAAACGAGGGAAA